AGTTATTAGTTAAATTAGTACTATTTCCTTAATAATTTACTCTTACTTATTAGCCTCTTTAATTCCTCCCTTTATATATACTACCTTAAGGTATAGTACTATTTTTATTCTTAGTTCCTTTAAGGGTAAAAGTAATATTAATATATTACCTCTTATTAGTAATAGTATCTTAATATCGTTAAGCGACTTATATAAGCTCTTTCTATTAATAAGTATAAATAGGTATTAAATAAAAGTTAATTTAGTTTTAAAGTTATAGCTCTAGCTTAGCGAAAAACGTAAGAGTATATACCTTTTTTAATAAGCGTTTAAAATACCTTTTTAAGGAGTTAAGGTATAAGCTAAACTCTAAGGGGGACTAGCCTTCTCGTTAATAAGCCTCCTTTAATTATATCGCTAATAGTATCTCCTTATTTATAGTATCTTTAGTTAAAATAAGTATTTATTCTTTAAAGTATACTTAATCTATACTATATTTAAGCTAGTTAATTAGCGTTTATTCTTTAAGGTATTAGCGCTATCTTACTTTATAGTCGCTATATATATAATCTACTATATAAAGGATTTTCGTTTTATTATAATAAAAACGTCTAGGCGCTACCTTAAAGGCGTCCTCTAGATTATAAGTTTAGTCTAGACGTTTCTATATTTTAGTAGGTTAAGATAATTAAGCGATATTTTTAATCTTAACCTTACTACTATAACTACCGTTTAATTTAAGGGAGTAAGACTATCGACGCTTTCCTAAATAGATAGCGATAGTACTAGCGCGTTTAGTAATTTCCTCTTTTAATTATATAACGCGATCTTATAAGCGTTTAATCTCCTCTAGCTCTTTAATATACGCTTATAAAGCTATAAGCTTTCCCTTATAAGACGGTTGTCTTATACCTATAAGTAGCGATATCTTTAATATAGTTATAACGCTATTTATAGTAAAGGTCTGTTTTAAGGATATATCTTTCTATTCTTTATCTCTTAAGTAGATACTCGATATATATAATAAAGAAGCCTTAACTAGTTAACTACTATATCGTGCTATAGGAGCGTTATATAGTCTTCTTTAAGTAGCTATCTTTATTAAGTAACTAAAAAAGGAAGCTTTAGAAATTATAAGGGAATATATATTATAGTGCGATTAGTTAGGTAGTAGAGATAGCTAGAGGTACTATACTATATATATTATATTCTCCTTATTATAAGACTAAAGCTTATAAGAAAAAGGATTTCTCTTCTTTAGTTAAAGTAGTCTATAACTTACGAGCGGGGTAAGTATAATTCCTTACTAATACCCTACTAATATATTAGTACTATATACCTAAGTACTTTATTAGCCTATACCTCTTAGTAGCGCCCTTATAGTCTATGCCTAGGAAGGTAGGGAAGGAAGAAATTAGCTACTAAAATCTTCCTTTATTTAAGCGATTCGTTTTTTATAGATAATTTATTAGATAGAAAGAGCTTATAGGGGTATATTATATCCTTTTTAGAGGAACTATTACTTAAAGAGCTTCGAAGTAAGCTACTATTATAACTTTTAGTATAGAGGTAGAGCTACTAGCTCTTTTAAAAGCGTTAAAAGAAGCGATTTTCCTTAGCTAGCTATTAATATCTCTATAACTATAAATTCTAACCCTATTATTTATAGAATATAATAATATATAGACTATATAAATTCTTATAGAAAATATTAAGCTATCGACCTAGCTATAGTATATCGATATCTATTAGTATTAGTTACGCTAAGAGGTCTAAAAGGGACTTATTTCTATCTATTAGGTTTTAATATCTTAAGGTATATAAGTAAAAGCGGAATTTTAGGAAATTAAGGAATCACGTAAGACTATATAATAGAGGGGAAGAAGGAGTATAAGGTAGGATTTCCAACGGAATTTATTAGTAGTATATTAGTGTATAGAAGAGGTGTTAAAGTTTATAATTCTCTATCTATCTACTAGCGGACATACTGTCTTATATAGACAATTATAGCTAAACGGAAGAACCTTTCGGGACCAGATTTAGGCTGCCGTATAGCCCTAAGACAGGGAATTCCGTGATACCTCGAGTAAATCTAGAAGTGTCTTAGTTCTACTAATATTCGTGTTTAAAGGAGGTTAGTCGTGCCGGTGTTCTTAAGAGGTCTTAGCTAGCATTCTAAGCTAGCTCTGTTCCTTCGATTCCCGATTGTACGATAACCGGCAACCCGTTTGATGCATAATAACGTTTAAAATAACGAGCGATTCTTACTCTATAGGATAAGATTTTATCTATAATTAATATACTACTTATTAGCTTATATAATTAGGAGAGTATATTATAGCTGCTTTATTTATAGTAGGAATACCGTTCCTTATATAATAGTATTAATAATAATAAACGGTCTTATAAAGCCCTTACTAAAGTAGAAGCTAGCTATCTTTTTATAGTAAATTAAGCTAAAAGACGTCTATAAGAAGCTATCCTTAGAGGCCCGCCTTAAGAGTCTATAAAAGGAGCTAATAGTATATATAAAAAGGTAACGTCTATAGCTAAAGAGAGGAATAAGGAATTATCCTAAAGGAGGGCCCCTAGCTTAATTAAGACTTACTCTTCTTAAAGGCCCCTTTTTAAGGATTTATTCTTAGAGAAGCCCCCCTTTCTTATAGGACTTAATATCCTCCTTAGGCCCCTTTTCCTAAAGTAGGTCCAAAAGAGCCCGGGGCTAAAACCTAGATTTCTCGAGTAAGGGATAAGTATAGACTAAGACCTCCTCTATACGCTTACCGGCCTAAGTATTTAGCTTTACCCTTTCTATAAGGGCAGGCTATAGCTAAGAGGGTGTATCGCGAAGCGTAGCCTAATTTCGTAGTTCTCGGAGATATCCCGTAGTACGAGGGACCTAGGAAGCTAAAAAATAGGTTTTAAGGAAAGAGCTAAAAGGAGGTATAGAGAGGAGGGTAGGGGTAAGAGGGGAAGTAAAAGTAGCGATAGCTTCCTATAGAGGTAGCGAGAGATAAGACGGATATACCGGTAATAGCTAGAAAGGAGGGGAAAAAACTAGTAAAAAGCTTAGTAGTTAAAAGGATATTAGTAGCTTCTTTAAGTAGGATCTTCTTTATTAATTAAGATACTAGATAGGTATAAAGAGGGGCGTTAGATAGAGGAAAGAAGGATAATTAAGGTAATATAATAATTACTCCCCTACTATAATTACTGCCCTAGTAAGAATTAAATATCTCTGCCTTACCTATCTAACCCCTTACTTCCGATTTTACCTTTATATATTTTATATATACTTTTTATATCTCTCTTTATAAGAATAATAATTAAAAGTATAAAGAAAGAAGAAAACTACTACTATAAAGATTAATAGTAAGGGGAGCGAAAATAAATATAATTCTAACTATAAATAGCCCTAAATAATTAAAAAGACTTATAAAGTCCCCTTAAATAATAAGGCTAATAAGGATAAAATATTTAAAGAATTACTATAATTATTAGGTATAAAAGAGCCTATAATAACTATAGATAGGCTTAAGCTTATCTTAGCTAGTAAGAAGTATAAGGGTAGAAAGTTAAGAGTAAAAGACGCTAGAATATCCTAGCTCTAAGTTAAAGATAAGGTAATAATTAATATAATTAATTAATATTAGACTTTTAGTTCTTTAATCTCTATATATTCGCTTAACTAAAAGTAACTTTAAATAAGAATCTACTAAGTTATTTTAGCTTAGTCTAAGTACCTAGCCTTACCTAAAGTATATATTAATAACCTTTAGGTAAATATAGTCTTTTATCTTAAAACCTATTACTACCTATAAACTAGACTAAAAATATTAGGCGGCCTATAGGTAGCTACGGGCGCCTACTTTTAAAGTCTAGTTTTTACGGAGTGTATATAATGTTAGAACCGAAACGTGCGAGATTTAATATACCATTTCCTTATCCTTAGCCATGCTGGTTAGTTGTAGGCTGAGGGATGGAACCCGGTGATCCGTGTCGTTGAAAGCAAGAGCGGCGGGCTTGACAAGCGGTGTAGCTTTGACAGCATCCCATGCGTGCATGAGACCGCCCCCTTGCTGCGCTACTGAGTAGAGTGCAACCTTGCTTGAGTCTTCACTGCGGAAAGCCACTTGCGGCTTGGCTGTAGTCATGAGTAGGCCGGAAAGGGTGGCCGCGTCGCTAGTATTCCGGGCCTCTGCAATGAGGGCAAGGGTGCCGGCGACGAGTGGCCCGGCATACGATGTTCCTTTGCCAGTCGCGTAGCCGCCGTCCTTCTAAGCCAAAGTAACCTCCTCGCCAGGGGCAGCAACTGATGGCTTGATGTCGAGATCCCAGGTAGGTCCGAAGGCTAAAGCTCTGGCGAGAAAGCCGTCGTTGCCAATGGTATAGCGACCGGTTCTTCGAACTGTCGCGCGTTTGCCTGCGCAGAGGGCTCGGGCCAAGGCCTCGCCGACGTTCGGCTCCGTGATGGCGCCAAAGTTCAACTTCGCCTGAGTGGGAGCCTGCCGATGCCGCTAGAGAAGCACCCGAGCAGCTCCTCGTCTCCTGGCGTTATCATATCTTGCTAAAAAGGTGCAATTCTTGGTCTCAAAGCCCCATCGTACGAGGGCAACTCGGCCTGTGAGGTCTTCAACGCTTCCATTGCCCGGATTCAGGGAGCATATCGACTGTTGGAATAGAAGCCTGAAGTCGAAAATCTTTCCGTCGCCTAATTCGTCGACATCATCACCATAGTCGGCGTCGATGTCGTGGACTTCGCGCGCCTCCCCGTCCTAGATGTCACGGTTCTCGGTGGTAAAGACGCCTCTTGCATCTGCGGCGCCGTTTATGGAATAAGTGGCCTCGACCTCGACGAGCGAATCTGGAGCGGCCCACGTGTTCACCTCAGTCAGCCCACGCCCTGAAGAAGGGTTCATTGCATTGATGAGGCCGCGATCTCGCTCGTTGCCAAGGCCCACGACGCATGCAACGTCGCTGGCCACGATGCGGGACACGACGACGCCGGCTGGCCGTTGAGCCTAACTGGACCCCTGAAAGCCGTCCGAGGAAACGATGATCTGAGCGCCGCCATTGTGTGCCTTGAGCCAGCCAGCCATCAAGTTGTCCTCTGTCACGTCTGCAGTTATCTCGCCATCTTTTTCCGTCTTGCATGTGGTGACGCGATAGGCGTGAATCGTCGCGTTCGGGGCTGCGCCTTTGAACACATCCTCTGGGTCGTACCCGGCTACAATGCTGGTGCCATGTCCATGGCAATCCATGGGATCGGCTCCATCACCGACGCCTGACAGGTTTTCTCCCAATGCGACTTTGCATGCGCTTCCGAGGCACCCACCAAGAGCCGGATGCTTACAATTGACCTGCCGTCATCCACCTTAGAACACTAAAACTACGACACGGCTCAAGCCCATGGGAACACTCACTCTAGTGTTGATGATAGCAACCTTGATGTCATTCCCGGTCAAATCTTCTCTGTGCAACTCGTTAATGTGTGTCATGAAATGCGTCCGCTGGGAGTTGGGTTCTCTTGATGATCGAGGCCACGACGATACTTTTGTTGCTTGACCTTGGGTCCTTCCTGTTGCTCTGTATTTTCAGGTGCATACTCCATCGACAAGTTGTCAGACTGTAGCGACCAAATTTGTTTCACGCCGTCCAACTGTTCAACTGGCGCTTTCTTCTGTTCGTGCTTTGTCCACCTGGCAGCTGAAACGACACGTCAGGAAGGACCTTTTAGTGGTACGTACGAACATCTCCCCTAAGTCCGAATAGCCTCGACAACGGGTTTCAGGCTCTAGATGTCATTGCATTCAATAATAAACGCCCCGTGTATAAAAGTAGTGGCAGTCTGTTGCCCGATGGCAACGTGGCATTTGTCGCCGTCAAGGTAGAGTTCCTCGCTGCTTGAGCCCACGAGCCGACCGCTAACGCCAGCCATATGAGCGTCGAGATCGAACACTTTAACATGTTCACACTAAAATGGCTCTTCCGATTATTTTTCAAAAAAGGAACAGGACGGGATAGAATGAGACGACGGGGAAAACAAAAGAAGGAAGAGAAGTTTGCAGAAAGTAAAGACGAAACTAAAAGAAGGACCAGGTTCGACAGAGCTCATAAGCTATAGTACCGTTCCCTACTATATTTTATCCTAACTTTTAATTATTCTCTATACGGCTGCTCCTGCCCTCGGATAAAAGGGATTCGATAGGTCATAAATTTCGGGAGTGCCTTTAAGGTAACTTCGCCAACGCCGACCTTCCCATCCTCAAAGAAAAAGCAGCTTAGCAAGGTCGCAAGTATAATAACATCCTGGACCAGGTCGATGCGTTTTTCCAGCATCGTTCGAATTTGTTCCGGCATTCCGTCGAACAGCTCCGTCCAAAAACCCCTTTCCGCAACCTCGAATTCATCCGGCATCCAGAACTCGCCTCCGGTGTATTCGCCGGCAATGGTGTGGATGCGGCCGAAGCCGGCCCCGAAAGGCAGCGGGCTGGATAGTTCCCAGTCGATCAAGGCGGTAACCTCGCATTTCTCGTCGATGAGCACGTTCACCTCGTTAAGATCGTAATGGGCAACCCACAGCGGGAGCTGGGCAAACTCATCAAGCCTCTTGGCGAAGCTCTCCAAAGTCGCTTTGTAGGGGAGGATATCTTCCAACGGCGACGCCAAGATGGCGTCCAGGTGCGGTCGAAGCTTGGTTTCGACAGCTTCACAGCTGTTGTCGGCGAGAAAGCCCTTTGAAAAGACGCGGCCCAATGACTTGTTGACGGCAATACGCCCTTCGGCTCCCTTCCCGGCGACTCCGCGCAGCCATATCATGCCGGGCATGAGGGTTAGGAAGTAAGCCCAGGCCCGCGCGCTCTCTAACTCTTCATTGCCGAGAGCTTCAACATCCGGGACAAATGAGCCTAGCGCCGCCTTGGCGATCTTGAACGCGTTGATGTCAAGCGGTTCGGTACGAAATTGCACAACTACCGCACGGCCATCAGCGAGGGTAACGAACAGGGTCCTGCTGAACATTCCCTGCATAGGAGGCTTGTCGATGCGCTTCGCAGGACTTTTCAGATGCTCGGCGACCAGCTTCTTTGCCCATTTGACCTGCTTCGCGGGGGTGTCGAGCAACTTGGGGAAATCGGTGTCGGCGGCAATCGTCGGCATTATGGAAAAGGTTTCGAGAGGATGTACTGTATTAGAGTGTAGACGAAGGAAAATAGAGGCGGAGACTGTTAAGCAGGCGTGCGTGGAGCCACCGGGTTTACATGTATAAAATTTAGAAGGCGGAAAAAATGTGGCGGTACGTGGGTGCGAACGAACGATCACGTGCTTGATGCTCAGCCAATATTCTTTGGTTTCTACACAACACAGTATGAGTTTTCATAGAATCGCACCGTATTATAGGGTCTTGATTGCAGGGGCCGGATCCGATTGACCGCTAAGTCAGCTCACCCACTTAGGGGCACACCCACTTAAGGGCACGTCTCCACAATACCAACGCGCCGACTAACTCGTACATCACAACCGCGAATTCTCGTATATCTTATACTTAATTATTATTAAAAAAACATTATTCGAATTAGCAATATCTTAGCTTTCTAAATATACTAAAGATTAGGTTTAGAACGCTCTAGCTAATATTAAATTCGGCATAGGTTAGGTATAGGCTAGTTAGAAGTAAGGTATTCTAAGGACGATACTTTAGAAACGCCTTAAAGGTGCCTAACTAAAGAGAGAGGCATACGAATGCTATTAGAGGCTTAGCCGAGAGTAAGAGAAATACCTCCGAGATTAGGTTCTCGCCTAAGCCGCCCTTAGGCTCCCCTTAATATATCTCTAGCTAAGGGAATTCGCCGGCCGTATTATCACGGCTATAGGCGATACCCGCCTACTTAGAAAATACTAGGTAGTAGGCTTTTTAGCCCGAAATCTAGAGGTTAGCACGATTAAAGGTAAAGCTCTCGATTCTACTCGTATTAACGGCGCTTCTATAGCCCGGATTAAGGAGTAGTTTTAGTTACTTAAGCTCCTAGCTTTATAGGCTATTCCCCTAGAATTACGCTTTAATATAGACGAGATAGGTATCCTCGAAGGCCTCGGCTATAACGGCCTCGTGCTAGGGAGCTTAGAGAAAAAGAAGACGCTTAAGAAGCGGCTTAGGTCGCGTTATTAGACTATAATAGTGGAATACGTCCTTACTACTAGCTGGGCCTTAACTCCTCTTATAATCTTTAAAGGTTAGGACCTTTAATACTAATAGTTCCTTAAAGAACTCGACTTTCTAAAGGATTAGGACTTTATAGCCTCTCTAAAGGGCTAGACGAGCGACTCTATAGCGATTTAATAGCTTAAGTAGGTCTTTATCCTATAAATAAGAAGCTAGCTATAAGGTAACGTCCTCTTAATTATAGATAGCTATAGAAGCTATTAGACTAACGATTTTATATACGAATACTTCCTATATAGTATATATCTCCTTTTCCTACCTCTTTACGCCTTATACGTTCTTTAACCTCTCGATATCTCGATTTTTTTACTAATTAAAGCTACCTACGGACGTTAACTCTAAAAAATCGCTTCTCTCGATGATATAATACTAATTAGCAAGGTATTTTTCCTTCGCTGCTATTATTAGGCCTAGTAGGCCGGCCTAACCGAGAAAAATATTAAAGGGGGGTAGCGAGGGATAGGACTTTAGCTAGTTAATATAGCAAAGCTATTAATAAGCCGCTTTATCTTGCCCGCGCCGTTAACGCCGTTACTACTAAAGAAAAAGAAGAATTTAAGCTTAATAGATAATAGCGATGCCCTTAAAATACCGAGACGATCGTAGGAAGTCCGTAGGCTTATTAGGGGGCTCGAAAATCGCGGTTAAGTTAACTATATAATCTATATGCTTTTTAGCAAAGTTAGCCGCAGCCTTAATCGTTAGAATATATAGCTTATAACGGTATAGCTACGTATATAATAGCTTAAGCATTAATTATATCGTCTATAGCCTTAAAAGCAACGAAAAATCGCCTAAGATCTAAATAGCCGGTTTATACGGATTAAATAAGTTATTAAGAGTCTAAGACGAGGAAACAGCTTTAACGCGCCCTTAAGCCGTCTGCCGTCGCAATAGCTAATTAGAAGGCGGATTTTAAAGCTCTATGTGGAAGCTGGCAGCTAGAATAGTAGGAAAACACCATAATTAAGTATCGCGATATAAAAACGCGGCTTTAATTGCTATTAGAATATGCTGTCTTGGTTGTGTGAGACGTGCCCTTAAGTAGGTGTGCCCCTAAGTGGGTGAGCTTTTAATTAAAGATATCGTCTTCCCTTTGGCTGTCGTAAGCCCGCACGTAGGTTGAGGGATTCATAGTACGTAGCTACGAAGCAGATACGAGCCACAGGGGGAAGGATGCGACCAGTATGATATAGCTATTTATATAAGACATAACTGCGGGGACTTTTACTACCGTGGGATTTACTTGCAAATAAATGTACCCTTAGTATTGCGGCGTTCTTATTGGTCTATACCCCCGCGACTGACCTACGGGCGGTCTTATGACAGCCAAAGGGATCCCATTGACTGCGGGAAGGGAATCGGGTTGCAGCAGACAGGGATATCAGGCAATAAGGACACCTTGCTATTAATGGTACGTTTATTTACTACTACAGTCAACCTAGGCTATAACGATACTCTCCGGCATATTATTTTAATCGTTATAGTCAGGACATCGTTATATTTAAAGAAACGCGCTAGAAGTACCTTTATACGTATTCCCCCGCTAAATTAGCTAAAAGATACTTCTTAATAGATTGTTATGATTTTGCCGCATCGCGTGCCGCCTACTAATCCGCTTAAATTGCCCTCTACCGCTAGCATAGAAAGTAAAGGCATTCCTAGTTAACTGAGCTTTATTGTTCCTCGAAGGCTATTAATTGCTCGATAGCCTCTAACGCTTATGCTACTATAATTAGCGTAGGCTTAGGTCGGTCGTTGTTATCGCCGTGATCCTCGTTGGGAGAGATACTAAGCTCTATAAAGGTCTTCGCGATAAATTCGAGAAGCTCGTCTTCTATTTCCTCGAGGCATTCGAATTCTAGGTTTACGAAGGCATTAAATTCGGCTAAATTAATATTAATAAGATTATTAATGCCTATTGCCTATTATATACGCACGCGCTATATAGCTTCGAGGAGAGCTTAACGGGACTCGTCCTAATCCTTTAGGCGCTAGTATAGCCTAAACCGTGTGCTAAAAAGCCGTAATATTATCTAATAGTTAGCGATAGTATTATTTTTTATAGAGGCCTACGCCTTAATAGCTTATAAGACTGCCCTAAATAGCGTTATATTTTATAGCGGATCGCGTTACTAGAATGCGAGATAACTAAAGAACTCGAGCTATAGCTTTTTATAGTAGACTTTAAGGTTATTAATAATCCCTTAGTCTATCGGCTAGAATAGCGCGGTCGAATTCGGCGGCAGGAAGTATATTTATATGTTTTTAAGGTCGGATTCGGTATCGCGAGCGGCATACTCGTAGGCACTAAAGTTATTAAGCAATAATAACACCTTACGACTAGCTATTTAGGTATTAAACTACTTTAGCTACTTAGAGAAGATAGTTAAGGTTATCTAGGCAGTCTTATTAAAGCGATAATAAAGCGGCATTGCTGCGATCTTATAGTTAAGGCGGCTAAAGGCATAAGGGTTAGCTACTATGCTAATTACCTAAAGCTATAGACGATATATGCCTATAGCGTTAGAGCAAGGGAGAAGCGTAATACGGTCTTTCTTAATCTTTATGCCTTTCTGCGAACGTAAGGCTATCGTATAGGTAGGCGTTGCCTTCTAGAAGAGCCTAGTCTCGTCGGCGTTATAGATATCGTTCGAGTTATACGTAGCGTAGAGCTTTTAGGTCTCGGTAAGGGCATCGTTAAAGTCGTATTGCTCTATAGTCTTTAACTCGCCGTGCTATCGGTAGCGCTTAAGACTATGCCTTTTCTTAAAGCCGTTAAGCTAGCCCTCTAAGAAGCTTAGTATAGGCTGCCCACGGAAGTCGGGCATCGTGTTCTATAGCTTCTAGGCTAGCGAGACGATAATGTCGCTATTAATAGGGTGCCCGGCGTTATTAAATCGCTAGAGGAGCTCGTAAAGGGCGGCTTTAAGCAGCGGCTAGTCTGCAGCCCGTCTTTTGAGTGTGTGGGGTATGTGTGAGTTGTTAATGTAGGCGAATTCGGCGCTGAGGGTCTCGGAGATCGTAGATTGAGCAAATTTTCGTCCCTACTAGTGGTTTGCCCACGCAATAATATCCGAATGCCTCTATATCGCGTTTTCTCGCGCCTTTTAACGAATTCCCTTTCTTTAAGCTTAGGAAATGCCTTGCCGACGTATCGATATTACCCTTCTTATTTTTCTAATATATATAATATATATAGAATTAATTATAAAATAAGAGATTAAGGTACGGATTTAGAAAATATTATTATAGGGTAGCTAGCTAAAATATAGTAGGTATATACCTATAACGATACCTATATAAGATAAACGGATTTGTTAGTAAATACGGGGCGATATCGCTAGTATCGGGAGATAAGGAATTTTATAGCTAATTATTGCTCGTGTATATATATCTTATCGCTAAAGCCAGACTATCGCTATAGCACGTGATCGTTATAGCCTAGGTTGACTGTAGTAAAATTACATTGTATCAAAAAGTCCCAGCAAGTCGGGTGTGTATAAATATCTACATCGCCTTTGTCGCATCCCCGCCGCGACTTTGTAGGCGCATTATTGCCGCCGGTTGCGTGTAGGGGCTTGCGTTAACTCCGTGAGCGCGGCTGGCTGACCTTGACAAGCGAGGCAGCTTGCGCTTTTCCTACGATTAATATGATTATGCTGTGAAATAGGCGTAAGTGCGCCCCTAGCTCGAGAGCGTTGTCTCCAGCCGCCGTCTTTGCCGTAAGCTTCACAAATTTCCTCCAGGCAGTCGCCTTCTTTGGGCTGCAGTAGACGGCATCTTTGGGCTGCGGCAGACGCCTTCTTCAAGCTGCAGTAGACGACATCTGCGGGCTGCAGTAGACAGGGGGTGGCTTACGTGAATGTCTAACAACCCTGTTTAAAAAATGCCCAATTTATGTCTCTACACCTCCTTCGGCATTATGAATGTAAGCGCGAATACCTACGGGCCATAGAAATCTTAACGGTCTCTATCATACTAAACCCCAACCGAGCTATTATCTATGGTGCTGGAGGAGGGTGTTCTTTCTTGCATACTACATTACTTGTTGGTTCTCTCTTACAACCGATGCTGCATGTTGGCTTCTATCCTGCATACGATAATATATGCCAGTCCTCTCATGCACACTACGCAGTCTACATGTTGGTTTCTCTCTTGCATACGATACTACATGTTAGTTCTCTGTTGCACGCGATACTACACTACCTTCGTATATCACTAAATAAGAAAGTGTCTCACTTAGTCCAGAGTTCTTGGTCATCGGTGAAATTTCAGAGGCAGGGGAGTAGAAAGGTCAGGGATGGCGCCCTCGTGTTCACGCTCCAGGTTCCCTTTTCTTCAGAGCTCGCTGAAACCTCTCGCACAGCATCATACCCAGCTGCTATTTGTTACCCGCTCTGCCCGAGCTCCATACGATCAATTTCTTGCTCAAGGGTTGCGTAGGGCTGTCACGTCTGTCTTCATTGAGTCCTCAAAGCCCTATCCCACTATTAGCACCTAAGCCGCCTGTATTGCCCCGACTCACTGTCCACCATGTCTCTTCCTTTTAACCCTCTCAACAATGGACGCCTCCACGAAGGTCCCCTACCTTCGGCTGAATACAACAAGCTTCCTCACATCGACAACATGGCGAACGCCGCGGCTAACAATCCCAAGGCACATGCTATTCTCCTCGGCATTATTGCCGCTCATGGACTTGTCGACAAGTTCTCTATCCACCTTGTCCACAAGCACTTTGATCTCCCTGAAGGGCGAGTCATGGTCTATGAAACGGTACAAGGGAAAAGCCACGGGGATTTTATTCTCTGCAGCCCTCGGATTCCACAGAAGACTCCCAACATGCGTGGTCTCTACTTCAAGACAGCCCTCGATGGGACCATGTTTGCCTACGAGTTCACCACCGATCCAGGCATGGACTTGTCCGCCCACGTGGACTTCGTCGCTAGGTTTGCGGCTGCTGTCCTACAGCTCGGAGTCCAGGATATATTTGCGCTGACGGCTCTCTCTGTCTGCCCAACGGACAAGATCTTTACTGAGTTTGAGCTGGGTCAAGTCGGTTCGACTGTGTTGGTTGCCGACAACAGTTGGCTGCCTTCTCAGGATGTCGAGACGGCTACGACTACGGACTGGCTCGCGACCGCGAATTACGTACAATACGCTGGTGGCTCGGTCCCCGGCATCATCCAACTCAAGTGCATGAAAACTCGAACCCACAAGCACTACAATGTCTCCTGTAGCACGACTAGGGCTGGAACCCACATGGGCCACGCTCCTGATCCTTTTGCTGGCCAGCCGTCCCAGGGTACTGTCCTCAACATCAACGGCAAGGTTCTCCAGGAAGGAACAGAAGGATACGCCATTGTTTCACAGGCGCTGCAGATGATTGATGTTGCCTAGTTTGTTCATGTGGGCAAGGCTGTCTTCAAGATATTCAATCACTCAAGCAGGGGCTTCAGAGCATAGTGGAAGGTAAAGAGATCTCAGAAAGGTAAATTCAGTGATGCATGTCTTGGTCTATCAGTCTGTTTATCGGGACGAGTGAGGGGCTTTATATAGGTACAGATATCACAAATAACTAGCCAAAAGAGGGTATTTGAGATGTTCTAGTACACGAGTCACGCCTGCCGCACGCCCTTCTGCTAGGAGTGGCAGGTTCGTCCGGAAGACCCCTTTTCCATCGCTTGGACCGTCTGTGGGCATGACCCTGACCTCTTGGCCCCGCTCGCCTTAACACAGTGAGAGTGTCACGACCTAACGAGGGTCTCAAAGACCCAACAAGGGTCCCAGTGGGCCACAGACCAATGTGTAGCTATTAAAGGTTGGGCTCACGCCCACACGCACTAAGAAGCGCGCACCTCATCCCTATAAGCGGAGACGATGCCATCGCCGCATCCGGAGGCACCGAATGCGGTAGTTAACCTAGGGGATGCTAAGGAATTTACTTAATAGATCCGGATAACCGTAAGCTGCCGGATTAGTAGGGAAACCTATCCCCCCCCGCACTTTATATATATATATATAGCTATACCTATAGACTCCCTCTTTTAGGTAGGATAGCGTAATCTATACCCTCTTTCTTTAATATAAAAACCTAATAACTAGTAATAAAGAGTACTTCGAGAGTAAGTAATAACTTTATTAAGAGTAATATAAATATATACTAGACTTAAAAATACCTATAAGTATTTACTTATAGGCTACTTATACTTACTTATAGGCTATTTTTCTTATAAAGAGAGATATAAGAAGTATATATAAAAATATATAAAGGTAAAATTAAAAGTAAGAGGTTAGATAGGTAGGGCAAAGTTATTTAATTCTTATAAAGGTAGGAATTATAATAAGGAAGTAAATTTCTTTTTTATATTATTACTTATATATAGCCTCTAAGGCTATAGCGGGGATAGTAGGGGCCTAGGCCCTTATTAGTAGTCCTAGCTAGCTATAGAGCTTAGGGGCTTATAACTAATTAAGGAAAGGGTAGCTATAAAGGTAATAATAAAAGAAAGGTTAGTTTAGTTCCTCCTATATAGTGTTTTTCCTCCCTAAGGGCCCTAGGGCCCCTAGGTTACTCCTTTTTAAGCTACTTAGCTATCCCTATCTTTATTTTAGCTAAGAAGGTTAAAAGGGCTTCCCTTTCTTCCTTAGAGCTATAAAGAATAGGTAGGCTAAGGGCCCCCTTTATTCTCTTAGAGGTTTAGTAAAGGACCTCTCTTTCCCTCCTATAGTTCGGGCACCTTAGGATAAGGTACTTAGCTATATACCTTCCTTAGCTATAGCGGTAGTCGTCTCGGTCTACCTTATTAGTCCTTTTTAAGAAGGAAAATAAGAAGCTAGCCTTAAAGAGGAGCTAGTAAAAGGCTAAGAGGGTCGGCCTAGGCCTCCTTATAAGGTCCTTTTCTAGGCTAAGGGCTAGGCGGGGGGGGGGGGTCTTTTAAATAAATATATAGTGCTTGCCTAGGCCCTTAGCCCTAGGGCCTTTAGCCGCCTTAGTAGCTTAGAGGCCCTTTTAATAGTTCTTAGTAGCTTACTAGACCTTTCTTTATAAGTAGCTAATAAAGACTAAAAGGGTCCCTTAGATAAAGGCCTTTAAGCCTCTTTTAGCTACCTAGTTAGCTAGCTCGTTACTAAAGATCCTTAGGTAGCTAGGGTACTAGTATAGCTATATATTATAAAAGGCTTCTAAGCTAAATAAGAGCTTTTTAATATATATAGCTAGGTCTAAGAAACCTATAACCTTCCTTATAGCGGCTTAGCCATCTATTAAGATATAGGCCTTTATAAGGGGGTTAAGGGGGCTAAGCCTTAAGGGCCGAGGCTTCTTAGCTAGGTCCTCTAAGACCCTTAGTATCGCGAATAGCTCTATATTAGCTACTTTAATTAAGGGCCCTAGGTTTTTATAGTACGCTTTAATAAGCTTATTTTCTAGGCCTATTTTATAAAAAGAGTAAGCGTTAGTCTCTATAAGGGACCCCTTAAGGCACCCCTTAAAGCTATTAGTATAGAAAGCTAAGGGCTATAACCTAAAGTCTTTTAAGCTAGCTAAGCTAGCTAAGAAGTATTAGTACTACTTCTTAGCTAAAGTCTTAGGGCCTTTATTATTATAATAAAGGCCTTAAGCTCTAGGCTTATAAGGGCTCCTAGCTAGCTTTCCTTCTTTCTAAGTTATAATTAAGTCTTATAATAGCTACTAAGCCTTTAAGGAAGTAAAAGAGCTATATATAAGGCTTAATATAGCTTAAGGCCCTTATATTAAAGCTTAAGTTAGCGAGGTTATCCTATATAACTAGGTTATAAGCTTACCTTATAAGGTAACTAAGTAAGAAGTATAAGGTCTAGAGGGCGTAAGAGAGGTATACTCTTTTAAATTATACTTTTAGTAGCGGTAGGGCCGCGTTAGCTTTTAAAGCCTTAATAAGGGATCCTTTAAAAGCTATTAAGACCTTTAAAAGAGCTTAGTTTTAAAGCCTTTAAAAAGGCTTTATAAGGCTCTTAGGGGTCTTAGGCCCTTTATACTAAAGCTAGGCCTTATAGTTTACTATAAAGGTTATATAGGCTTAGTAAAGCTATTTAAAGGATCTAAATAAAAGGCCTCTTTATATAGAGGTTAAGTAGGATAGTTCTTTAAAGGTAGCTTATATAAAGGCTACTTTCTTCTTAATATATTATTTAAATAAGAGCTTAGAATTAAAAAAGACCCTTAGCTACTATACTAAAGGTTTTACTTTAATAAATAGGCCTCCTACTATTATACCCTTTAAAATAAGCTGCTTTTACCTATTAAAGTAAATAAGTTTTATTTTTAAGGGGTTAAAGTAGACCCTTTAGTCCTTAGCTTATTTAAATAAGTTAGTAGCTATCGCTTCTAGCTATTAAACGTTCTTCTTAGCTAAGGTCGACGTTATAGAAATACTAAAGTTATCTATATAAGATAGCTAGTACCCCTTAGCCGCTAGTATCCCCCTTATATATAAAAGGAATAAAATAGGGCTAATAAGGGACCCTTAAAGCTGTCGCGAAGCGTAGCCTAATTTCGTAGTTCTCGGAGATATCCCTTAGCACGAGGGACTAAGGAAGCTAAAAAACAGGTTTTAAAGAAGGAGCTAAAAGGAGGTATAGAGAAGAGGGTAGGGGTAAGAGGGGAAGTAGAAGTAGCGATAGCTTCCTATAAAGGTAGCGAAAGATAAGACGGATATACTAGCAACGGCTAAAAAAGAAGGGAAAAACTAGTAAAAAGCTTAGTAGTTAAAAGGATATTAGTAGCTTCTTTAAGTAGGATCTTCTTTATTAATTAAGATACTAGATAGGTATAAAGAGGGGCGTTAGATAGAGGAAAGAAGGATAATTAAGGCAATATAATAATTAATTCCCTACTATAATTACTACCCCTATAAGATTTAATTATCTCTGCCCTACCTATCTAACCCCTTACTTTTACTTTTACCTTTATATATTTTTTATATACTTCTTATATCTCTCTTTGCGAGAGTTATAAGCCTAGGAGGAATAGAATTCCTATACCTTCTAGCTACTATAAAAGGCACCTTTCTTATATCCCTTATAGCTTCCTTTTACCCCTCTTACTAGAAAAGCCGATTTTTAACTAACTTTTCTACCCCCTCTCCCGCAATAATATTAAAAAACGATTCCTCTACCGCCCCTATAGTCTATAGGACGATTCTTATAGAGCCCTAAGATTAAGATAAGTAGGTAAAGGAGCTACGGGCTCGTATAAATAGAACTATCTATAATTTAGTCTTCTTTAATAAGTAAGACCCTCTCGAGCCCCCTCTTTATCCTAGGGCAATAGACTTTATAGAAGGAGCTACCCTCTTCTCCGAGCTAACCTCTATATAGCAGAGAGCTTTTTCTACTACCTTAGGCAACTACGAGAGTCACCGAAAGGAGTACCTCTACGAGACGAAGCTGCTAACTACTATATATACGGCGATAATAGAATCCGTTAGTGCCGTAAAGCTAATCTCTCTTTAAGAGGAAGAGACCCCTAGGTAGTAGCTTTTAAAGCTCGAGACCTTAATAGCTCCCTCGAGGGGCTATATAACTAACCGTATTAGGAAGACCTATACGGTATACCTAGGAGCTTTTTCTGCTAGGAACCTACTAGCTTTATTATAGCTAGCTAAGTAGGAAGAAATCCTTAAGGAAGCTAACTAATACTTCCTTATAAAAGCTCTTTCTAGCTAGTAGCTACGGGATATATCTCTGCTAATAAAGCCTATTAGTAATAGTTACTCGACTATCTTTTAAGAAGCTAGCTAGGAACTAAACGAAGAGGCTGCTAGAGTATAATAGTAAGTAGTCTTATTCCTTCGTAGCTAGCACTCGACCTAGACGGCTCGACCTACTGCCCCTATAGCTGCTATAGCCCCTATTACTGCGGCTCCCGCTACTACTGCTACTGCTATTGCTTCTTTAGCTCTACCTCCCTCGAGAGCATTAACACCGTCTTTAACGGCTGCCCTGGTCCCGGCCCTAGCTTCGTAACTTACTCCGGGCCCGGCCCCGGCCCCGTTAGTTAGACCGGCCCGACTATTCCCCTAATAGACCTTTTAGTCCGTTAGTCGAAAAATTAGGGAACTAGTCGAAATCGAACCTCGTTAATATTAGTAATAAGGTATAAAGAGGGGGGGTTTTTAAGTAGACCTACTAGAAAGGGACGAGGATTCCTCGAAGAAATAACGTACGAGGAGGAATCGACCTACCTACTAAGTATATAAAAAGCCCTATCGGCTAGAAGACTACTAGTAGGTCTTTAAGGAAAACCGACTTAAAGGAGTTAACCCTTTAAAGAGGCTATAAGAAATAGTATAATAGTCTCTTAAGGAGGACCCCTTATTATAGAAGAAGATAGACGAGATTTAGGTTGCTAAGAAATA